ATTTATCATTATCATTATCATTATTATCATTATTATTATTATTATTATTATTATTATCGCTATCAATGCTTTTAATATTTTTTTACCATTAAAAAATATATATATATACGTAAACGGATTGCCTTAAAGGTTTTAATTAATTGCATGAGTTAAGTTTCATTAAAAGTTTTTAAAAATTGGTTGTTGTTGTTGTTATGGTTTTAATTTTTTTATCACGACTACTACAACCACCACCACCACCACCGCCACCTCTACTACCACTATTATTATTATTATCGTTATCGGCGATATGACGACCAAATCTAATTAGAGTGCATTGATTCATTCTTTGTTTCGATACTTCATACGATTGTTTTTTACCATCGGCGTGTAATTACGCGGCGGAAAATATTTGCGTTTTTTTTTTATTTATTGCTTGCTCAGATTTGAGCGATTAATGAATGTGTTCTTGCATGCCGAAAAGAAAAAAAAGGTGGGAGGAAGAGAAGAGAGGAAGAGAGAGAGAGAGAAATAGCTTAATTTCCACGTTTTGTCATAATTACGTTAAATTCGTTATTTGAAGAAAATCTCATGCGTGAGCACGACGACGATGATGATGATGATGAGTACGTTATATTTAACTTTACGTGATTAAATATTAATTTCAAAATTGAATGAGATGTAGTGAAAAGAAAAAGAAGAAGAAGAAAAAAATTCGATTAAATAATACGATTATAGTAATTTTAAATTGCGAATTTTTTTCCGTGCTATTGTACACGGATTTTATTTAATGTTGGTGTGCGAAAATAATAATAATTTGTAGTTTCGCTCCATCATCATCATTATTTTTTCAAGATTTATCTCAATCGCAAATGTATAATCATACGGTGACGCGTTCCCCCCCCCGCCTCCCCCATATTCAAAAGAAAAGCTCATCCAATATGACGGAGGATTTTTTTTAGTAACGGTTATTAAAACTCGCGCATAATTTTTCTTTTAAATTTAAACGAAAAAAAAAAATTATCGCACAAACACTTCAAGGTTACATGCACTGATTTGAAACGGGAAAACACACCTGAACAAATACCTGCCATGTCGGGTACAAACACAAAAATTTAATTAAAATAATAATAATAATAATTAATTCCTTTTCTTTTGCGTTGTTACCGAAAATGATTTTTTCTTTTTTTCTTAAATATTAATCATCATCATCATCATCGTGATCATTTTATTATGCGTCGAATCGACGTCATCCTAACAACAAATGCCAAAAAAAAGAATTCTTTTTTAAAAGGTAATAATAATGATGATGATTATTATAAAAGGTACGAAAACATAAAAACGTTTCAGGATTTTTTTTTACATACTCCCAGATCGTCGACATCAAAAAAATAATAATGATAATGATAATTATTCCATCACGTGTGATTTAATACGTTCAAAACTTAAGTTATAAAGTCTTTAAACGAAGAAAAAAAAAAAAAAAAAAAAAAACGTTAATTCAAGATTTCTTTCAAGAGTTTGACGTGATGACGTCAAAAAAAAAATTACATTTAGGCCCGTATTATGTTCGTGTGTGTGCGTGTGTGTAAGCACATTTAATAAGAGTAATTTATAAACCGGAAGATGTTAGGTAGGTACGCAGGTAGGTAGGTATACAAATTTTCTTTCTCGTTAAAAAATTCTTACTACTCCTAATAATAATACCCGAAGGTGGTAAATTAAATTTCTCGAAGAAGAAGAAGCAGAAGAAAAAAAAAAACAAAATGAAACTTATTAAGGAAAAAAATGCAACTTGGAAAATTATTTTCCACCGGGGGGGGATACGTATAAGAATGTTGGTAATTATTACCTGTCGGTTTATATTAAGACGGAGGATACGCATTTGTTTACATGATAAAAAAAAAATTTTTTTTTTTTTTTGCAAACAGTCTTGCCAACCTTGACCGAAATGGTTCATGCGGGAACAATAATAATGATTTTAAATGTTTTTTTTTTTTTTTTTTTTTTGTATTTTCCCTCCCAAAACGAAAGAAAATATTAATTTTCTTTTTTTTTTATAATTTACGTGAAAGGTGTTTTTTTTTTTTATCTTAAAAAAAAAAATTTGCGTACAAACGCATAATTATGTTTGCGATCTCGTTTGTTTGTCGTTTTTTCTTTTTTTTTTTTGATATCTTCATAAAACTAAGAGAAAATTTTTTTTTAAATCTCGTTTTATCTTTTGTAATTTAATTGGCCCGTGAAATTTTCTTTTTTCTTTTTAATGAAATGTTACTTAAAGAGTTACTGTCTGAACTACTGTCAAAATTAAAAAAACGACGAAATTTTTTAAATAATTCTACCTTATTTATAACGACTTTATATTTACACCTGACGATAGTTTGTAAATAATCGAAATATAAGCGATTCTATAACGAGAATAATCGCCTCCAACTTTCTCGTAAATATTTATCGTTTTACTTTTCCCCCCCTCCCCCCCCGTTTCGAAAAAAAAAAAAAATAAAAAATTTAAAAATCGGTAGTTTAAATTGACAACGAAAAAAAAAAAAAAAACCCCCCCTAAATGATATCATGGAAAACGATCGATCGATCGACTTGTTGCCCTTTCTATTTATATATAAATAAAAATAAAATTTTCCCATTAATATAAATTTTTAAAATCGTATATAATTTAAATTAAATCCCATAAAAAAAAATTATGTGACAAACATGCTGGAAGGATTTTTTTTTTTTGTCCAGTATTGGTCGGCGCCCCCTGTACTGGAATCAAAAAAAAAAAAAAAAATTAGAACAAGTTTAAAATTATTCCGATTCGATACCCTACAGCAACGATATTAAAAAAAATTTTTTTTAACAAAGAAGAAAATATTATTATTATTATTATTTTACATCGAGAATCGTTCGAGAATTTTTTTTCCTTTTCATCGACGATTCCGTTCAGAGTTTTTCTTCTTTCTTTTTAAAAAAAAAAAAAAAAACAATCGGAATGAATGAATGAATGATTTGAAATAAGAGCCAAGTAAACAAAAAGAGAGAGAAAGAGAAAGAGAGAACGTGAGAGAGAGAGAGAGAGAGAGAGAGAGAGGGAAAAGGTTTAGATTTTAATTAAATCACGATTTTCAGGGCTCATTTGATACGGTTGTAAATTAACGCGGGTGTTTTTATTACACGAGGAGGAGGAAGGGGGGGAAAACTAACTGATAACAAGATAACAGGTGAAAATCAGGTTACTAAATGTAAAAAATTAGGTTTTCACTTAAATTTTTTATTAAATAACCGCTTTAGGCATTTTCTTTTTTATTTTTGTTTTAACTGTGAAACAACACAATGATTTGTTTATCTCTCTCTCTTCCCCCCCCCCCCGTTTTTTTCATTTTAAACAAATTCGAAATGTTTTTTTTTTTGCTAAAGATAATAATCGAACGTTATTTGTTTAAGTCCTACCCACGGAAAAAATGTTAGGTAATTTTTTTTTTTTTTTTTGCTCTCGTTTATATATATTTTTTTTCACTTCGTTCTAACTAATGTAAACGATTTTTTTAAATTTTCTTATTTTCATCTCTCTCTCTCTCTCTCTCTCTTTCTATTTAAAAAAAAAAAAATTAATAAATAAAACGAAATAAAACTCCCTAACCCCCCCCCGCCTCGCCCACTTCACCCGATTGAATTTTTTTTTTTTTTGGGAGGAGAGGAGGTTATCGAGGCCGTTTACGGTAAAATTATTATATTATATTTTAATAATAGTAAATCTCATCGAGTCTTAGTCATAGCAAAATATTTCCTACGGTCATAATACACATAATAGTGAGAGGTCAAGGTTCGATTTATACTATTTTTAATAGCAGGGGAGATTCACGAGACGGGAGGAGGCGGGTACAAAAAGAGCAAAAAAAATATTTTTATGGGGAGTGTGTGTGTGCGTGCGTGTGCAGACCCATTAGGAAAATAATAAAATTGTAATTAATGCACACGCACGCAGCAGGGTCTCACGCACTCAAATACGAAAATTAACGTTTAAAATCCATTCGATAATAAAATTTGAAATTTTTCGCAAACGAAACTAACAATTAAACTATAGCAAAAATTAAAATTTTTTGATTTTCTTATGAGAAAAATTTTTATAGCGGCGGCGGCGGCAATGCTGGAGTTAAAAAAATTTTTTTTCCAAAAACTATAATTAACCTTCATTACCTTAAATTATTTATTAAAAAATTTTTTTAACCGTAGCAAAAATTATTGGTAATAATAAAAATAAATAAATAAATAAATATTTACCTGTTGCTTTTCCCATTTTTGGTTTTTTCTTTCAGCGAATTTATAAAAAAATCACGAATTAAATTCGTGGAACGAGAATTCACTCCTTTTATTATTATTATTTTCTCTCGCCGATGGAATCACCCTGGAATAAATAAAAAATATTATGAATTGTTTTATGAACCGTATCTATAATAACTCCTCCCTAAAAAAAAAAGAAGGTTTCAGGTATTTTTTAACTTAAACAATTTATTTGAAAACAAATAAGTTAATTCAAATACTGATAACACGTCATTGATAACACCATTATCTAAAAATCGTAAATAAATCACAAATCACTCCAGGAAAAAAAAAAAAAAAAAAAAATTTATTTTCGATTGTTTTTGTTTTCTCCTCCACTTCAAATAAACAAATATAATTTTTTTTTTTCCCTGGAAATCTTTAATCGCGGCTGGAAAACTGGAATTTTCAATTGCAACAATAAAATTTCGAGAATTTTAAAAAAGATTTTTAATTTCAACAAGTTTCCGACAAGACTCGTCCTCTTCAAACTCGAATAATAATATTAATAACTCATCAATAATAATAATTATCACGAATTTATTAATGAAATAATAATAATGATAATAATAACATGGTCGATTAATTAATTCATTATCACTTATTTAATAATAAATTATTTTTAATAATAATTTTTTACAACGGATCGACCTTTAATAATTAACCTTGTTATTTAAATTATAATTAATTGACCGTTTTCTTTAATAAAATTTATTTATTTGTTATTAAAAAAAAAAAATAATACCGGCGGCCGGCATTTCGATATGATATTAATATTATTATTTATTTATTTATTTATTAATGTCACAACGATCCCTTATTATAAATTTCGTAAAAAAAAAAAAAAAAAACAACAACGACAACATTTTTTAATAAAAAATAACGGTTGTTTTTAATTAAATTTAATTTTTTTTTAATTAGAGAAACATAAATTATTTAATTACTTAATATTTACTCGTTTAAAGGGAGTAATAATAATAATAATATTAATAATAATAATAATAATAATAATAAATCGTATTCTTTTCT